ATGCAAATGAAAACAACGCTGAGATTCCACCTCACTCCAGAAAGAATGGCTGCTATCATGAAATCAACCAATAACAAATGCTGGCGGGGCTGCGGGGAAAGAGGAACCCTGCTCCACTGCTGGTAGGAGTGTAGACTGGTGTAACCACTATGGAAATCAATATGGAGATACCTCAAACAACTAGGATTAGAAGTCCCATTTGACTGAGCCATTCCTCTACTGGTTATCTTCCCCCCAAAATTAAATGAATCATACCAGAGTGATATATGTGCACTCATGTTCACAGCAGTGCAGTTTGTAATAGCTAAAACTTGGAAACAGCCCAAATGCCCAGCAACTGGAGAGTGGATAAAGAAAATGTGGGTTTTTTAATAAAATGGAGTACTACTCAGCCATAAGAAATTAGAAATTAGAGACATTTATAGCTGAATGGATGCACATTGAGGCCATACTCTGAAGTGAAATAAATAGGACACACATGTGTAAATATCAAACAGTTTCTCTGGTGTGAGAAACTGAAAGTGTAAATAAGGACTGAAAGGTATAATAGATAATGTGAAATAGGAAGAAAAGGGGCAAAGGGGAGGGGGAAGTGGGGGGGGGAAGGAAAGAAGGGAATGGAATCAATATGAGAAAATGAAAAAATGGAAACAAAGTCTTTGTAAATAAGGAGGGATTGAGGGGTTGAAGGGAGGGCAGGGGAAGGGGGAAAAGTAAGAACCAAGAGAGATTATGTAAAGGTGCAAATTTCCAATGATGAATGTTATTGTGTTGTACACCTAAAATGTACCAATAAACTTAATTTAAAAAATAAAATAAAGTGTTAGCCAGGAAGCACAGAGAAGAGCCAGAGCCAGGTGTTGTCCCCTAGGTCATGACCCTGATTTCTACTCCTTCAACCAGGTCTTACCTAATGTTTTCATCACCCCCAATCATTCCACCAAATTACCATCTTATCTGAGGATTTAATCATAACCTCAAAGCCTAAAAGCCAGCAACCACCCCTTTAAGCACATGACTTTTGGGGGACATTTCAAATTCAAACCACAATCTTTCTTAAGGGCAAGGAAAACAAAGTGCCAGCCTTGAATTTTGGCTGGAGATGTGCTTCATGCTCACCAGTCCTTAGGGAAGGGGAGGTTGGCGGTGTAAGCAGCCCTGGTACACCAGCACCCAGCAGAGCCTTTCTCTTAAACGGTACAACTGCAAAAGGAGCCCGTGGCATCCCCTGCTCTGTCCATAGGGGACCTGAAGTCACCTCAGCTGTCTGTTAAGGGAAACACCAACACCCAACTCACACCAGGCCTCCAGGCCAGCAAGGGGTCCCACCTGCCTTCTCTGGAGCTTCCCACCCACTTTATGGAGCACACGCACACTGTAGCCTCTTCCTGGGCCTCCCTCCCATAGGCCTGTGCAGCCCGCTGCTCCCACACTGAGAACACATGACTGCCACTGAGAACACATGACTGCCTACAGGAGGGTGCTGAGCTCCTCCTCCTCCAGAACTCTGCACTTTCTCAGGCAGTCAGACTCTGAGGGCCCTGATCCCTGGCACAAGTGCCCATGACATCCTGTGATGCTCAGAATCCTCAGCGGCTCTCATCTCCAGGAGAAAAGTCCATCTCCACAGTTCTCACCTTGAGCTCATAACCCACCCGCTTTGTAGCATCTGTTGATGAACCTGTGAATGATGATCTTTTCTGTTTTACAGTTCTCTGGAAGAGAAATGTGGTTTGCATAAGGAAAAGAGAAGAAAACAAACATCGTGGTGTCAGCCTGCCTACACTCCTGGCTCCCTCTGGCATGCTGTGGATGTCTTGTGGAGGAAGAGTCTGTGCCTGGAGGTGGGCAGAGACTGGCTGTAGTGAACTCCTGGTACCTGGCCTCTTCTCTCCATTGTTACTAGGAGCTAACCTCACCCAGAGATCCCAGTGCTGAGCACCCACCTCCTCTCAATTACTCAGAACGGTCGTGCAAGGCTGGTTGGTGTGGTCCAACTAATGTACATCTTAGGCACCAGAACCACTGTGGGATGGTGCGCACCCCACTAGCGGAGCTCCCAGGACCGTGTATTTCCTCAAGGAGCAGCAGGGTCCACGCTGGGGGCAGGATCACTGGCAGCGTCATTGTTCTTCTCCCTACACTTACATTTTTGGTAAAGGACAGACAGTTGAAATCCACTCTTCTTTCCAATAAGCCACTCAGCCCTGGAAACACAGCAGGACCCTGTGGATTTGTGTGGGATGCAGGAACAGGCCACCCAGAGCCCCTTTGGGGATCAGATTCCAATGAAATACCCCCTGGTCCCTGGGACATTCGGGTGGGCCTGTCAAAACACGTAGACACACATGCTCAGCTTCCCCCAGGACCAGGCTGAGAAGTCCTTTCTGTTCCCCCTTCTCTGGAGTCATCAGGCAACAAACATCTGAACTGTGAGAATCAGGGTGGGAGAACTGTCACTCCCACCACTCCTGTCACCCATAGCTCACCTCACTTTTCGATGGCTTGTCCTCTATGGCAGGCAGTGCCTGTAGGGAAGCCAGGCCCACTGTGACCAAGGTCTCCCTTGAGATCCTTCACCATTGCTGGGAGATCTGGTCTTAGTTTTGTTTAAATTGTTTGCTAAAACTAATAACATGCTTCTCAATTTCCTGGAGCTTTGGGAAAACAAACAAGAGAAAAAAAATCAGCCTCCAATTTATTTTCTCTCCAAATTCCCTAAATGAAAGGGAAGAGGGAATGGATGCCTGTGGTTGGTAAATGAAAGTGGCTTAAATCAAAGCCCTGCTTCCCCTGCAATGAGATGGGACTGTGTAGCTCCCCCTCCTCTCAGAAGCCAGCTCCTTTCAATGGTTTCAATGAGAGCACCGTGTCGGCCTCGGAGGCCCAAACAGTTCTCCAGCACGTCAAACCCAAGAGCTTGTCACCTGGAAGCCTGGTAGAAAGACTCTGGGGAGAGTGGGGTGGAAGGATGATGTCTTGTTAACCCTTTTTCTTAGGAGCATTCTGCACCCTCTTTACCATGCCAGGTTTCACTTACCTTGATTTGGAAGAACTGGGACTTTCTGCAGCACAGGCTAAGCCAAATAGAACAGGTAGCTGTCTAGACCTGTTTCAAAAGGATAAGTCCCAGCTAAGCACATAAATAACATCCACTGCCTTTTACCATACAAACGCAGCCAGAGAGCCAAATGCATTAAAGAGTCTAAACACAGGTTCTCATTGTTATCTCATTATATCCATTAAATATGTAGGAAAGAAAATGCTTCCGCGTCTTGGGCCTGGTTTAAACTATCAGGGAGCAGATTAGAGTTAATTAATGCTGTGAACTCTGAAACTGCCTGCCAGGGAGGCTCCCGATGGAATCCAGGTTCACACCTGTCACAGATGGAGTCCAGAAAACCGTGGACAGTGGCAGGCCCCTACACCCCCAACGCTGTAGCCTGAATGCCTAACCTGTAACTCACAAACCTCCACCTGAGATGAAGAGCGGTGGACTCCAAGCAGAAACTGTGCGAAGGTCTCTCCCAGTGCTCCAGAAACGGCCAGGGGTTGCTTCTGGCAAGTTGGAAAGAGCTGACCAATTATTCATGCAACTGGATAAACAGGCATCGCATCTTGTAGCAGGAATCAAGAGATAAAAATTCCATTTCAAGAGGGGGTGGAGACTAAACCAGGAATGTTAATTGTAAACTGAAAAAGAGAAGGAAGGAGGGGAAAAAGTCTGTGAGCTCTTTGGCTTGGGTTGTGCTGTGAGCACCTGAAAGATCTGCCTGTCCCCAAATTCTCTTTTTCCCATTCCCCAAAGCCTCCTGACAAGCAGGCAGCGGGGAGGGAGAGGGGTCATCTCCCACCGAGTTTAGGTCGGCTCTCCTCATTGCGCCCCTGGTCTCTCAGGAAAGCCCCAGCCACAAACCTCCACTTGACAGCTCATGGGGAGAGGGATTTGTGAACCCTCAAACTGCAGCACCTCAAAGTGGAAAAAATTAATTGGCTGCTCCCAGGCTGAAATCCAAAGCAGGTGGAAGTTTACAAACAGCTGCCGAAAAAGGCTCAAAACAAGGCAAATCCAACACAGATGATACTTTGGCCAGCCAGGTGTGGTAATCCCAGCTACCTGAGAAGCTGCAGCAAGGAGGATCTCATGTTTGAGGCCAGCCGGGGCAATTTAGTGAGATTCTGCCCTAAAATAAAACATATTTAAAGGCGGGAGAGGATATAGTTTAGTGCTAGAGCCCCAGGCTGGCATGCATGGGGCCCTGGATTCAATCCCCAGCCCAAACAAAAGGAGGAGTCAACAACAATGCTTTATTTTTGTCCTTCTGCGCTCCTACTCCACTCATGGTCTTGCACCTGACTGTTCCTTAAAGTTCGGGAAATAAATTCAAAAGATGAAATTGGGGAATTGGTGCTTTATTTAGGTACTAGATTTGACCATAGGTTGAACCATATATACTTATGTATACAGAGAACATGTGTGTGTATGTTCGGGGTATATATGTGGTGAAATATATATATATATATATATATATATACACACACATTTGGGGATATATACAGAGAAAATATATATTCTGAGATACATTTGGAGGGAGATATGTGGAGAATACATATATTTGGAATATACATGTATGCACATATATTTGGAGCTACTGTACATATATAGAGAGAGAGACTAATCATACACCCAAGTGTCAGTAGGGGTTGGCCCCACGTGGTAAGAGTATGCACGACTGGTAGTTTACTGCTTTCTTTCTATTTTGTCTGTATTTTCCAAACAGTATATTAGGAGCATTGCTAATTCTACAATGGGAGAGAAATAATGAACTTTGTGCTTCTGAGATACTGTACTATATTAGGAGCATGTATTGATTTTTATATGGGAGGACAACTAAAAACTCTAATCAACATAGTCTGAAGCTGCACAGACTGACTTGTCCTTCCCCCTCCAGCAAAGCAGAGGAATTCACCTCGGTGGATTTGCCCTCTCCTGGCACTCAGCTGGCAGGTGGAGAGCAGAGCTGAAGCGGGGAGAGATGCACCCTGCCCAGAGCCGTACTTCCAGAACACACGCAGGTGGAGAAGAGGGGTCCTGCCCATGCTTGGTGCTTTTGGCGGAGGGGCACCAATGGGAAAAGCAGGCGCATGGACTCTGGCGACACCTGGCACAGCTGCCACCCCCACTCCTCTTACCTGTTTCCCAGGTCAGGAAGGAGTCAGAGATTTCCCTTCTCTGTTTGCTTCTCCTACTTTTGAAGATGCAGAATGTGACATTGATCTTCCTGAGTTTTTGCCTATGTTAGAACTCCCATTTGTCTTATAAATTTTTCTTCTGGTCTTCCCATCTCCTTGTCCACTTCCTTTCTCTTGCTTCCAAAAGCCATCCACTTGAATTTGTCTGATGTATTCACACAAACACAGGAAGCACGTGGTGTTTATGTGCAGTTTGTGCTTCCTGTTCACATGAATGACCCTTTCCACTCGGTGCTTCTTTCCTGAGGTGCTGTGCTTTGTAGATCTCTCCACAGTGTTGCTCCAACAACTGAGGACCTCTCTGCAGTCCTCATGTCTGACTGACAATTGGGGGTAGAGCACTGTGATGACTCTAAGACACATCCTGCATGGGAGGTGCTCAGGGGACAGCCCTCTCTGCCTCTCTTCCCTGTCCTCCTGACCTGGGGTGACCCTGTGGAACCATCTGGAACTGACCTGATGATCTCCAGAACCCTTGCCCCAGCCCCACACCCCGCAGTGCTGAGCTGAGCAGGGGATCTTGCACACATGGAGTCACTCAGCCGCAAGCACAGTGAAATGATGGTAATGACCACCATCTCACCAAAAAGCTACTCTGACGTCCTCCCTCACATCATCTTGCTGGATTCGCCCCCAACCCTCAGAGGATTCTTACATTTTAAATAAATGATACCAGGCCCAGAGAGAGTGCCCAAGAACGCACCTTATGAGTAGCAGTGCCAAGACAGGAACTCTATTAGATACCCCAGCCTTCCTGACCCCAGACAGGGCTGCCACTCCACCCCAACACCAAGGAAGCCTTTCTCTTACTGAATTTTTGGTTCTAGAGTAAAATAGCCAGAGTCACGCCATTCTCCTAAAGACTCTCTGCAAGCTCTGCTATACCTAAATAGCTCTAAACTTTCATCCCCATGAACTGGGTGATCCACCACATCCCACTCTCCCGGTGGACAGAGGGAACAAGTTGGGAACTGTGTGGATGAGGTTATGGGTGCCTTACCCCACTGCTTACCCACTCACCCAACAACCAAAGCCCTGGCATCAGTGAGCGGACCAGGCTGGGCTGGGGATCAGAAATCTCATGCAGGCAAGGCTGGTGACAAGTGTGTGCTCTTCACTGAGCAGGGTTTAAGCACCTACACATCAAGTTGGCCCTATGCCTACTGATATGGGGATGCAAAGCCTACCTTTGTAGAAAAGAGATCCTTACAACAGGAACTAAGATGTGTCTCTACAGGTTGGGGGTTGGCAATTCAGTGATGGGTTAATGAGTTTATTAATGAATTATTACTAATAAATTGATGAATGTGAGGATAAAATCAAACCATTCAGCTTGGGTACCACCCAGAACAATTGTGACAACGCTAGTCAGTATCTATCCATCCTTCTACCCATTCATCCATCTACCCATCTGTCCATCCACCTAACCATCATCCATTTACCCATCCATCTATCCATTCATTTATGCATTCATCCACCCATTCGTCATTCATTTATATACCTACCCTTCTTCCCATCTATCCATCCATCTACCCATTCTCCATCCATCCATCCACACATTAATCCATCTTTCCATCCATTCATCCACTTACCCTCCATCCATTCATCTACCCACACACCTACTCATCTGTCCATGCACCCATCCATCCATTTATCTAGTCATTCATCCAATCACCCAACAATCCATCCACTCATTCATAACATGTCCATTTATGTGCCAGGTTCTGGGTTCAGCCCTCTGATACTATTCTCTCCCCATACACACAAGAGCTCCTTGGAACAAGGAGACTAAGACTGATATAGGAGCTACTGTAGAGAGTCCCCAGGAGGCCAAGGGATTTCCCCAATATGGCACCCAAGGGGAGACAGACAAGGCACTCAGGATCCAGGCAGTTAGGATCAGAATGAGGAGCCAGACTTCCAACCACAGACTAGGTTCCTGTCCAGGCTCCACTGCACACCAGCCATGTGACCTTCAACTTCTCTCCAGGGAGTTTCAGGATCTGAGAAGGTTGGATCCTCCTCTGGCCTGGCCCCTACTTCAAACAGCCCAGGAGGGCAGCTTGATGTTTATTTGGTTATTAGATAACCAGGCCCGGCACCATTTCTTTGATCAGACACGCCTGATAACAAGCAGAGGAAACAGACCATTTTATAGCAAGATTTTGGAGGGTGATCTTATCTTCCTGCAGTGCTTTTAACAGGGACAAGGATGGGGAGGTAGGTGTGTGAAGAGGAGGGGGAGGGAGAAAGGGCCTGACCTGCTATGCTTTCCCATCCACCGGCCCTGGACTTTGGCTTTGGGGGAAGGATAGGAAACACAATAGAACAGGAAGGCTGGCCCTCTCTCCCACTCATGGACATCTGGCTTGTAGCTGCCCCTCATTCCTCCTGACCCCAGCAAGACTCTCATGTCCACCCTAAACCCTGGGCAACTCTGACCACCTGGGGAGGTCCCCTGCAGTTAACAGTGCAGAAAACCTGGCTCTGAAGGACCAGATGCACAAATGCCTTTGGACACGACTCACGGCCAGCACAGACAACCTTACAGCGGCCGCCATTTCAAATCCGCTCCCGGGATTGTTCTGTATGTAAGAAAGAGGTCACCAGCCAAGGCCCTATCACCAGTCCTCTAACTAAAGGCGAGGTCTGTACAATATAACTTCTTTCTTTCTTTCTCTTTCTTTTTTGTGTTTTTGGCATGGTTAAAGATATGTTTGAAGCCAATAAATGAGTCTTAGCTTCAGTTCCTTCTTCCATTCTTATCTCCTGGTAACTCAAGGAGAGTCCTGTTAAAACACCATTTGTTGTCCATTTTCTTTGGAGGTTTTTTTTTTTTTTAACTTTTTTGGAGTGAAGTTCATATTTCTCCACTCAGGTAGGTGTAGCTGTCTCAGCTGCCCTGGGCTTCTGTCTTCTCAGCTGTGCAATGCAGAGTGCTAGACCACTCCCGCCAGTGTCCCTTCTAGCTTCACACATTGTCCTGAGCTCTGTGCCCTTGTGGGGCTTAGCTAAGATGCAGAGGATGCCACAGAATCAGGCTTCCCAACACTCTCAAGATCTGCTGAGTAAGGCTGTTGTGGCATGTGCATTTCCACTGGCTCTTCAGACTTGGAGCGGAGCTGACCATGCCATGAAATGTAATCCTCTATGGAGACACAACATTATATGACAAGTGGGGACTCAGAGCTCTTTTGCCTTCCAGCTATGCAGCACTGGAGCAGCAGTCCCTGGTCTTGGAACATATTTCACCATTCCATAACACGGGGCTAACACTAACTCCTACTTTTCACTGGGTTGGTTGGGTATAAAGGACTCAGCACCTTGCTCACACCAAGCTCTCCAGAAGCATCCACAATTCCTCTTACTTATAAGTAAACCAATACAACTATCAGCACATGTGCACCACACTTTGGGTGCAAGCTCCTACTTGTAACAGAAACACAGTCATTTCTGAAAGCACTGAATTATGATCCCACCTGGGACATCAACGTAGCACCCCCCTTCCCACAACAAGCCATTAATGCTTGACCCCCCATCTTCACCTGGGACTTGGAAATGCCTAGTCAGAAAGCCCAGAGGGGGCAGTCTCCAACTGCTATGACCAGAATGGAGTGTCATTTTTAAACTGTCATTATAAATTTTGCATATTTAAAGCTACATAATTGCCACAAATAATCACAATTATGCAATTACAAATAATCACCCTGAGGAGCTCTCCTCTGGCCCCTAACAGTTGTCCCTTGCATACCAACTTAGCGTGTGGCTGTCACTGATGTCTGCAGGGAAGTATCGTGGAGAGCTCAGTTTCATCAAGGCCACCACAAGCCTCACCCTGCTCACGGTAATAAGCATCAGAAACCAGGAAACAAACGTCATTGTCAGGAAGGAGACTGGTCGTCTTCCTCACACTTCCATTTGTGTAGGATCACACTGTGCCCCGCTGCTTCCTGCATGGAGGAAAGCAAGGACGGCCAGGGGTCCCCAGCTGGGTTGATAGCAAAGGGCTTGTGCTGCTCCTAGGAACCTCACCTAAGTTTCTGGCAAGAAATCAAAAGGAGAGGTGGGGCTCCCCTGGTCCCTCTGGAAAACCAGTCCACAGAGGTGCTGCAGGTAAGGCCAGGACACCTTCGGAGGGGCAGGCTGCCTGCTCAGACAGGCCCGCTAGACACACACCTGCCCCAAGAGACAGGCTTGTATTCTCTCTCTCTTTTTCTCTCGTCCTCGTTCTCTTTCTTCCTCTGTCCCTTTCACTCCCTCTGTCCTTTTCTGCTTCTGTCTTGCTCTTTTTCTCAGCTCTATCTTCTTTCTTCTCTCCTTACCGCCCCCCCCATCCTGTGTGCCCACACACCTTTCTTCGAGGCTGGCCTGCCAAACAGGATGCCACCAGGGAGGCCCGGTGCCAGGGTGGGATCCGCAGGGACCAGTTTGGAGGCATCCGGTTCGTCCTCCCCCTCGCAGCTGCCTGGCCTCGGAGCTGCCACCCTAAGCTGACTCACCCTGAGGAGAACTGCGGGGTGGTGGCAGGAGGAGGCGTTGGGGGTGGGGGAGGAAACCCGCCCTCGTTGGCTCCACACTTTGCCTGGGCGGCGAAGCTGGGGACGGCTAACTACAGAGCGCGGCTGCCGGCTGCGGGGCGCCCTGGCCTGGCCCCTTTCGCTGCGCTCCTGGGCTTGCGGGCTCCAACTTGACGCGACTTTTCCAGGAGTATCTGGAAGGCCCGGACAGAAACTTCAGGGGTCCCGGGAGCGGCCTGGCCTGGGCGCGCCCCGGCGCTGGGCAGGCACCGCTGGGCTTAGCGGACACAGTTTGGGGAGCCCTTCTTGTGCACTGCAGCCTCGGGGAGACCGGGGCCCGGGGTCTCACAGGGGGCGCGCCAGGGCGAGCGCTGGCCGCGCTGTCTCCACCTCTTCTGGCCTCGGACCTATGAGTGCGCGGCTCGCCTCTCGGCTTCTAACTCCGCGGCCAGGCAGGGTGAGAGCGGGCGCGGGACCCTCGAGACTTCTCCGCGGCAGCCGCGGGCCGCGCCGTCGCGTCTCCGCCTCCCTCCTGCCCGACGGCGCCGCCCGCAGCCATGCTGCTCTACGCCTGCGTCCTGCTGCTGCTGGGAGGTAGGTGCCGCCCAGGCCGGCCGGAGGGGCTCGCGGCCCGGCGCTCCCTGCGGGCCCCAGGGACTGGGGCCTGTGCACCTGGCCGGCCACGCTGCGTGCCGCGGGCTTTTCTCCAGCCTCACCTGGTCGGCAGCTGCGGCGCCACCGGGTCCCCCTGGGCCCTGAGCGAGGAGCCGGGTCAGAGGGCGGGGTGTGCGCCCCTCGCTCTCTGCGCCCGTGCAGCCTGACCTCCGTACTGGGAGCTCCTTGGATTGACCCCGGGAGTGCTGGTGCCTCCAAAGAATGCAAGAGCATCCCAGGAGCACAAGGGACAAGCCCAGGTCGCTCCGCCAGGGCTTCTGGAGGTGGTCTTGCCCTCTGAAGCTGAGACCTGTAGGTGCTTAGGGCTGTTTCCCGCAGCAGGATTGGGGAGAAGGGAGGGGAAATGGTGTTGCTACCTTTAGGTTGGCGCCCAGGAGGCCTGACAGGGGCCGGGGGGGGGGGGGGGCAGGAGCCCCTGGTGAAGGAAACAGAGTCTTCTCCAGCGCTGACGGCCTCCCAGTGGCTCTTGGGACTCGCTACAAATGGCAGCTGACTGCACTATGCCGTTATGGCATCAAAGTGTGCCGACCCCAAGCACCTTCCCATACTGAGGGGCCCAGAGTCAGAGTATCTGGCTCAGGAGTGCCGATCGGCACGTCCTATCACCTATGAGGGTGTCCATCCGCTCTCTCCGTCTTAACTTTTTTTTTTTTTTAACCTGTCGAATGGGCTCACAAAAGCTCTAAAGCTCCTAGGGGATTACACGAAGACATTGGGGAGGAGCCCTCCCCTTGCAGCCTGGGATCGCCAGGCACTGAGCAAACCTTCGGCTACAGGCAGCCGAGGTCACAGGCCGTGAGGTCCTGCTGCGCACGAGCTGCCACATGCACGGCCACCATCGCTCACAGGCACAGAGCGAAGTGTGGCCTGGCACCAGGGCATTTCAACCACAGCCTTTTCTTCCCAGCCCCAAATGTCTATGCAAGATGTTTTGAGAAAAGATGAAAGGGGCCTTAAGGAGGGTCAAGGGAGCTTGTGCTTGCAGTTTGAAGAGTTGCAGATGCAGCCAATCAAAAGGTACATTCATCAAGGGCCGCTTTCCCTGCTCGGCTGGAAGTGAGAGGTCACACAGCTCTCCCTTGCCACAGAGTCCTCATCTTGGCAAAAACAGTCCTAGCTTCCTCACTGGCTTCCTAGAAAGTAAGATCCGGTTGGGGATGCTGGGAGAGACTCAGAGCCAGTGTCTAGATGGGGAAGAGAAGAGATCTGTGCCAGCCTCTGTTCCTCCAGCTCCTGAGCCCCTCTATCCAGTGGAGTTGAGGCAGTCCAGAGCAGTGGGACATACGACCCCCAAAACCTGTGGTCTTGGTCACATCACAGGACTGTTGTCCTTGGCAGGCCCTGAGCTTCTCGTCATGCCAATAAAAATCACTGGAAGTTTAGCGCTGGGGCTTACTCTTGGGGAGCCTGCTGCTGCACTCCTTGGTGACCTTTCACCAGGGGAAGTCAGACAGATTCTATAGGAGAGATGCCAAGGGTGTCCAGGGGCTGACAAGAACGGGGAGCCCACTCCCCATTAGTTCAGGTGCGGAAGCCAGAAAGGCAAGGATTCCATGCTGGCCACCTCCATAGCTCCCAGTTTTAAGCTGGGCACCATTTTCTACTGGGTGCTTTTCTCATAAGTCCTTTGTCCTGGGGCCAGGAATTTAGCTCAGTGGTTCCACCACCTGCCTCACAACCACAAGGACCTGAGTTTGATCCCTGGTACAAAAAAAAAAAAAAAAAAATGTCCTTTGTCCCATTGGCTGCATCCCCAGATCTCAAGATTCTTTTGCTATAGTGAAAGGAAACAGAACCCAGTTGATTCTTCTGTGCTTATGTAATCTTAGGTGCCTGAGCCGAGGCAGCCCAGACCTCGAGTCCAGGTTCCAGAAACTTTGGGCAGAATGAATGACACACCAGCTGCCCTGGCAAAGAAATTCAGATTGAGTGCGCGCACACACACACACACACACACACACACACACATCAGGGCTTCTCAACCTTAGCACAGTTCATATTTGGAACCAGATTCTCTTTGGAGGGCCAGGGGCCAGGCATGGTGGGCTGTTCAGCTGCATCAATGGCCTCTTCCTGCCTGATGCCAGTAGCGCCCCTCCCAGTCGTGAGAACCCAAAATGTCTCTAGACCTTGCCAGATGTCCCCTGGGCACAACTGCCCCCAAATGAGAACCATTAGTATGGACAGATCAAGCTCAACTGGTAGCTTTCCACATGAATCTTTTCTGCAAATCACTGGATTGGATGGATTTTGTTATTCTTGTTCTGAACAATCAGGAAATCAAGGGCACAGTGGGGCCTCAAGAAAAACAACACAACCTAGGTGGTTTCTAATCTGGAGGTTGATTTTTTCCATTTATTCTCCCTCTGTCTGTGTTTGACAATGTCCTCACAGTGGATGACAGGAGTGAGGCCAGGGTACGCGCACTTACCCACTGCAGTGAACCTGCCTCCATCCAGACCCCGAATGCCAGATGTGTCTAGGGCCATTTATTCAGCTGCCAGATTGGTTCTCTGCACAGCAATTTCTGGCTTTTAAAAAATCTTATTCAACAATTTATGCTTCAGGAGGAAAATAAGAAACCACAGCTTCTTCTTCCTTTGTGTGTGTGTGTGTGTGTGTGTGTGTGTGTGTATGCATATTTTTTTTTCTAATTTTGGTGCTGCTTTTATCAGTAGCCCTATGCTCTGATGGCAAATTATCTTTAGAGATAGATTAACCAGGACAAAATCACAGACTGTTCCATAATAAATTAGTCTTGATGTGGGGATCCATTTCAAATCCCACAATAAAAATGCGGAAGAAAATTGACTTAAATACATTTGTTGGAAAATTAAATGTGAGTAGAGATCAGTAATCATATTAATTATTTAAAACAAAGAAAATTATCCACAGAAACTTTGTCTCACCACTTGGCAAGTTCCAAGCGAGACATCTTGGCCAGCTGTCTCACTTACCTTCTGACCAATGCTATAATCTCTAAACTCAAAATACCCAGCTCAAGGCAAATATAGCAGATTCCTTGATTCCAAAACCATCTGGATGGCAAACCAGTTAGAAGCTACTCATGAAGAAATATTTGTGCAATGTATTGGAAGTTAATTGTGCTAATGAAAGCTTTAAGCCAGAATGAGCCCCTTATAAAACTACCAGGATGTGGTGGTTCACCGCCAGCGTCATTCTGCAAAATGAAAATCAATGGACCAATGCAAAGGGGAAAGGAGGGTATTAAAATCAATTTGAACTTGAGGGCAACTAAGCTGAGCTAGGTGGTTTCTGGGGAAAGAACTAAATCCAGACGTTGGCACAAAGGGTTGCTGTGAGCCCAGGCTGGCAGTTGGGTGTGGTTAATCCTTAAATGAGAACCTCTACCCCCCTTGGATTTTCTGATTATCTCCAAAAGATCCCAATACAGGAAACTGACACCAGGGAAATAAGATGCACCCAGAGGGACCAGAGTAAAGCTGCCACACAGGAAAACTTGTCCCAGAGATGTCAGACCTCCTACCTAAGAGGGCAGCCAGTGGTCCAGTGGGCAAAACTTATGACCACCAGGACAATACCTGTGCACTGAGAAGCCAGCTGATGAATTTTGTGTGCTGCAGGGAGCTTGGGAACCCATCATGGAGATAGACCCAGGTCCCACCCTGGCTTTGTTCCCTTCCTGTTGGCCTCCTGGGCCTGGTCAGCCTCCCTGGGCCTGAGTCTCCTCACTGAGTTGGGACTGGTAATAGCTGTGGTCACTGTGCCTGAGGGATTAAATAGGATGATGTGTGGTCATTAACACCAAGCACCCAGTGACCCCCTGTCCTGTTATGGCAAAGAGGGAACCTGCACTACACTCCCAGAACCCAGAGAAGGGGAAGGTGGGATCCTGCACCCAACAGGCTGCATTCAGCTTGAGCTCCGGTAGGTTGCTTAAGGCCCGTCTTTTTAGTAGGCACCATGTTTTCTTCCTTCTCTGATGTGCTCTGTGCCTACAAGAACCCCTTGACTCATAAAGACACCAACAAATATCAGCACTATCTAACATCCACGGGGCATCGACTCTTCTTAAGGGCTGCAGGAACATTAAATTATTTCTTTACCTTCTGTGACATAGGTACTGCTATTATGAACTTTTGACAGCTGAGAGGTGGCTGCTACTGGGTTAGGGTGCTTTGAAGGGCAGAGCCCTCATTGGCTCTCGCTTGCTAAGGAACCATTCAGAGCATGTGAAATTCTGGACCCAAGAAGCCCAGAAGTCTCTGCTCCCTGGTGGTCCTGAGGAGCTAGCAGTCTCTAACCATGGTCAGTCCACTGCCACCCACTGCCCACTACGGAGAAAACCAGGGAGGGTGGTGGGATCCATCACCAAAGCCAGGGAGACACATTGTGATACTTGTTGATCCCATTAAAAGTAGAGCTTTTGTCCTGAGGAATCCCTGTTCCACCCTTCTCAAGTCCTGCTCTGTTTGAGACAAGTGGACAAGTGATGATTTTGCTTACCTAAGCTCTAATCCCTTTTATTTAGCTACAAGAAAATTTCCCTCATTCCCTCTAGTCCTGGGGGGCATGTCAAGCAAGATGCCTCATCTCTACCTGGGATGTGTGTCTCCAGCTATGCCAGTAGGATGCTTGTTCCAGGACCCTGAATCTTAAGCAGAGTGGCCAGAAATGAAATGCATTCATGCCTACGCAGGCCACAGAAAGCTGCATAACAGTTGTCTCACTGGATTCCAAGAGCATTCATTGGTGCAGTGAGCACCCATGCCTTTCCAATCCTTTTTGCCCTGCAGGAATCATATTTGGCATCTGTCGCTTGCAATCAAAGCATCTAAGCAATATGCCCATAATGTCCATTTGGGGACCAGGCTCCGAGAAGTAGACTAAACAGTGGACACACCCTATGTCCTCATTGCTAAGTACTCCTAGAGCTC